AGCTCTCCATTAGTCGATATTAACATCGCTGCAGAAGCCCTCCGTGCGCACCCAAGATCACAGCTGTTTACGCCAGATGAACGGCCGCCCCCCCACACACTCTGCAGAGCCGAGCTGCGGTTTAAAAGGCACGGGAACTACGTTTGCTGGGTGGGGGGCTATAAAGCTCCGCAAAGCCCGTTTGGCCAACGACCACCATAAGAACATGAGAAGGGCCCCACTGGATCAGTTCAACAGGGCATAGAACCAAGCTTCCGGTCCCCCCGGGGGGGTGTGAGGGGGGACGACCAAGCATCTGGGAAACCACAGGCAAGGTTTCGAGGCAACAACCCTCCCCGTCTCCTCCGTCGCCCACAGAGGTTGGAATCCTTTTGCAATGGGAGCTGGGAGAGGAACACCCCTTGCAATCCCCTTCAGCTTTGCTAAATCCCCATCTAAGATATATTTATTTTACAGTATTGATGCACTGCTTCATGTCTAAGCAGATTCTGGAGGGGTGAACAGTGACAATCAAACATGTACAAGAGTAAAATAATATTAACATGGGATTTTGCTAATGCCATGGTTGGTTGGTCAGTCAAGGGAGTCTTCCAGAAATAGAGTCATTTGATTGTTTATTTATTTATTTATAACTTTTCTAGACTGTCTGTTACCGTGGTCCCAGGACGGTTTAACAGTAAGTCAGCACAAAATAAAACACAGCATCCTAGTCAAATTTCCAACCAGCCATAAAACCCCAGTTAAAACAATCAAATCTTAAAACTTTGGGAAAATAAAAAGGTTTTAGCCTGGCGCCGAAATAATTAAGTGACGGCGCCAGAGGAACCTCTCCGGGGAGTGAATTCCACAATGGGGGCGCCACCACAGAGAAGGCCCTGAAGCAACGCGGTGGGTGCTTGCCTGGCCGACCTTGAGAGCTGGGGGCTCTTCAGAAGTGGAGCCGACGCATGGAAGGCTCTGCTCTGGAGGAATTTTTGTCCGGCTGCAGGTCTATGCAGAAGCACCAGCAGATACAACTGGGTGGCCTCAGTCACAGGGGAGAGGGTCCTCCATGCAGGAACCTCAGGGCCATGCAGCCCGTCTCAAAGGGCCATTGTTGTTGCACCACCCTGAGACTTTTATGCCTAGGACAAGGTACAAAAGCTTTAAATAAATAGATCAAATACCGGGGCCCAAGTACTTTGGAGCTTTATACCCCTCGAGCGGAAATTTTAAGCCTGGAATGAGCTGGGCTGTGCTGTACCTTCACCAAAGGAGCTGCAAGCCAAAGAGCTGGGTTCCCAGCTACCACCAAACCGCTGCATTCTGCATCAGCTTCAGCCTCCAGAGCAGGCTTAGGGGCAGCCCCACACAAGTCTTGAGGGTCCAAGCACCTGCCAGGGAGAGGTTGTAGCTGGCGAACCAAGCAGAGCCAATTAAGGTGCAACCTCCCATGGCCAACTGGGACTCCAGGGAGATGGAGGATGTCAGCGAATGGCCCAACTATGAAACGGGTCTTTCAGCACGCGCGCAAACCCACCCAGCCTGACCCGGGGATGGAGAAACTGCTTGCTCAGCCGCAGGGATTCTGCGGTGCCAGGATTCAGCGTGTTCCTTGGCCCACCACTGACCCGGGACTCGCAGCCCCTCCTGACGCCTGCCCCTTTCGGAGCAAACAGGTCTGCTTTCGTAAACCCCCAGCAGTCAGAAGCAACAGCTTTGCCTTCGCTGCGAGGACAATGCCACCCGGAGTCTGGATGGATGCACCGAGTACTCCCACTTTGCGAGGATTTGCAAGAGCGGTGCGGCCGCCGCCACTGCACCACCTCGCGTGACGCTGGCGTAGCAAAATCGGGTACTAGCAGCAGGACGGCGGCATGAACGTGAAATGCAGCTCTGAACTGGCACCTGGGGAAGGGAGGAGGGAGAGAGAGACACCAGAGCGGATGAAAATATAGCCTTGGGTTTAGAATGTTTAAAAAATATGTAGTAGGGGGTTGACCCAGTAAATCCGATGTATGTGATGTTTGATGTTTTTCGTGTGAGTTTAAAATTTTAATTAAAAAATTAAGAAAAAAAGAAAATATAGTCTTGGATCCAGGTTTACTCAAACTTTTGAGTAAACCTATTGAAATGAATAGAACTTTAGACGCAATGCGTACTCCAAGCTGGATCCAACCCACAACCATTAATTGTTATACATTCATCGTAACGATCCATTAATGGTAATTAGCGTATTACAAACGCCTCCGCAGCTACAGGCGTACGTGAAAGAGCCCCGCCCAGACTGATTCCCTTTTCCCTCGCTCGCCCCGCCCCTTCCTCCGCCAGCCCCGCCCCCCGCAATTCGCGGCGTCACGCGGCCATGCTCGCCCGGCGTCCTTGCCGTAAACCCGATCACGGGATTGCGCGTGCGCAGTTGCCGAGCCTCTCGGGGGGGGGCTACGTAACAAAGGGGACTTCCTGAGCGAAGACAGGCTTCGGCGCACGGTCGCGTCCGCTGCCCTTGCACGCATGCGCGTTCTAAGCTGCGCCTCCTCGCGGGCGGGCATTTCCGAGGCGAGTCGGCGGGGACAAAGGGAGTGCGCATGCGCTGTGCCTGCTCCTCAGGCCCTTCCCTTGCTTCAGAGACGGTCTGCATAAAGCATTCTCACGTACACGAGTCTCCTGTTTATCCGCCTTTCTTTTCCGCACGCAGGTGTGACTCACCGCGCTGCACGACCTTCTTCAGGGAACCCCACGGAAAGTCAAAAATTCACCTCAGCCCCCCGCCCCAAGCTGCATTTCCCGCCCCTCAGACCGCAAAACGGTGCAATTTCCACTGCTGGAAGCATTTCTTGCTTGTTTCAATTGATACCATCTTTTAATACAGTGTTTTTATCTTCGTGTCCTTCCTACTGTCTTTTTAACTGGTTGGTACTCCACCTTGAGGTGATAGATTGAAGCTCATAATCTCAGAAGTGCCCCGCCTTTAAATGGGGTGCTCAAATTAGGGTCCACTCTTAACCTTTGAAGCTGTATAACAGCCTCCTCATAAAACAGGAAGGAACCAAAACTTAGTATGCCATTAATGAGTGTTCCGCTGAAGGTCAAGTGGGAATCCTGTCATGGCACCTTAGCGCGATATTCCTTCAGAATGGCTGCCTCACCTTAGCCAGCCTGTCTTCACTGCATCCATTTATTCTTCTTTCTTTCACACCTTTTTGTTGTTCACTGCCCTGGACTTAGTCTAGATAATGAAGTAGCACACAGATGCTGAATACACACACAGACTCACACAGTTAAAACTCATCTCCTGACAGCAACCATTCAATATACTAAGCAACGGACTTGCTGCCACTGTGCCTATATATTAGGCGTTTTATATGTAGTTTTTTTCTTGCTTTGCTTCCACAACAGTCCTTTGAGGTAAGCCTGATTCCAAAGTAATGCATTGGCCTGAAGCAGCTGCAAGGAAGCAAGTCGCATGGAACAAAACTTAAAATCGTTGTTTTGTAGCTGCTTCATTTGAAGGGATGGTTTAGGCACAACAAGAAGCCAGATTTCAACACATCAAATGTTATATGAGAACCAGAATAGTATAAGGCAAATTCCTATATTACATATGTGAGCCCCTCATTTGTCCATCAAAGAAAGGGAAAAAAGGATTGGGTTCTTTTAAAATTGTTCCCTGGTTTTATATCTTCTATCTATTTTCATCTTTCATTTTTACTCAGTATGAATCCTCTTTGAAAGTCCTCTGAACTAAGTCAACACTTTTTTTAATATTTAGACAGCAGGAAGAAAGAACTTGTCATACACAAGCAATCAGAACTGGCTGGTTCTGATCAACAAAATAAAGTAGGTATAAATATATGTTTTATTTAGCATTATTCTTTGCTCTAAATTGAATTTTGTACATTCATCTTATTCTGAATCAGAGACTGTTGGTCTATCTGACACAGTATTTTCTGCAATGACTGGCAGCTGCTCTCCCTCATCATCATCATCATCATCATCATCATCATCATCATCTTACAGGGACAGATGGGTTCATACCTTCATGGTTGGTACATGCTGCGTGTTGGCAGCAGGTAGCCCCAGCCATTACCCAAGCAAATTTTGCACCCACAGAAATGTTCGCACCTTAATCTTTAGAATTGCACGATTCCAACTAAAAGACTTTTTAAAAACCAAAAGGGTTTGCATCCATTTAAGGTGTATTTTTCAAAAGGGAGTGGTGAACCACCAACAGACCCTCTAAAAGCTGCTTGGGCACTTTGGAGGGGCATCTGTGGCTATCAAAATGGAGGTCACAAAAACCTATCCCCAGAAAGAATAAGGAGGAAAAGCTGCAATGTCCCAAAATGATTCCCAATCTCAGCCAGGAAGGGTAGCAGCAAGCCAGTAATGGTCACCCTACCATGCCACTTGGAGGGCATATAAATGAAAGTATAAACAAGCAAGCAAACAAACAAACAAACCCTGCTACAGTTCTTAGGATAGCTTGATAGGGAATTAAAGTTGTCTGGGCTTGAATGACATAAGAACCAGCCATGGCTCACTGCCCATGATGAGTTGCTGTCATGCAAAACAGATCAATATATTGGTTTACAGACAATCCAATATCTAATTGTTTATGCAAGAAAAATATAGAAAACAGTTAACAGATTCATTGTTTCGGAATGTTCACTCAATCAAATATGTATTTTACTGTTGGAGCAGAGAGGTTAACAAACTGAGTATATCTTTATGGAGATGAAAAACAAATGATTTTATGTTCACAGCTACCCAGTTAGTCCCATATGAATGCATTTACCTGTCTTCTATATATAACTGATATAATTGTTTAAACAGCTTGCAAACATGAAGAACTTAAAAGTCCAACTAAAAGCAACACATCTTTTTTTTTCAAAACTCTTATCAAGCTTGGCATTTTTTTAAACTTAACCACTTTAAAAATTATGCCAAAATAGCACACTTGTCATTTTTTCGTTTTTCTCCCTCTAGCTCACAAAATTGAAGAACACAATATTGGCAAAATGTTCTACATGCAGCTGCTTATGAATAAGCGTGGGCCTTTGGCCAAGATATGGCTGGCCGCTCACTGGGATAAGAAAGTCACAAAAGCTCATATATTCGAATGCAATTTAGAGACTACTATTGAAAAGATACTCTCCCCAAAGGTATGAATCTATATGAGATAACTAATAAAATGCAGCAGCAGAAATGCCCCCAAGGTTTTACACAGCATCAAATAGAACATTTGATTTTATCCTTTGTTCTGTTGAATTTGTGAGATGGCTCTGTGCTGCAACAAAGACACAAAGTGTGATATGCCCATGTGCGTGGATGCGCACACTTAAAATTTTTAATCTCCTTCCCCACACCCCTGGTCCGGACAGAATGCTGACCAGAGAGTGTGTGTGTGTGTGTGTGTTCTAGAAAAGTAATTTCACATATTCTCAAATATATGACTACTGTTACATATGATAGTGTGTCTATATATATTTGTTGCATTATACCCCACTACTTGGCCTATGAATGCCCACAGGGTTTCTCACTAAGATCTAAAACAACAAAGAAGTTTCTTTCTCACAATGCTTGTACTGAGTTCAGGACTTGCAAAGAAAGTAGTTCATGACACAATGAGGAGGATGGGTCTGTCAATGGATTGTTGTTGTTGTTAGTTGACCCATTGTGACCCCATGGACAACATTCCTCCAGGCCTTCCTGTCCTCCACCATCCCCCAGAGTCTACTTAAGCTCATGCCGACTGCTTCAGTGACTCCATCCAGCCACCTCATCCTCTATCGTCCCTTTCTTCTTTTGCCATCTATTGTTCCCAGCATTAGGCTCTTCTCCAGAGAGTCCTTCCTTCTCATTAGGTGGCCAAAGTATTTGAGTTTCTTCTTCAGTATCTGGCCTTCTAAAGAGCCCCTACCATTTCAGTAAGTATGCCACTATTAGTGAACAGCAAGGGCAGGAGAGCTATCTCCTTGATAGTCTACAGATTGACTTCTGGAAGTCATTTAGTAGATCACAGTGAAGAGTAGGATTCTGATCAACATGAACCTGTGCTCAGATCCAGCAGGGCTCTCCTTATCTCTTTATTGTGGCCTTTCCCATAGATACCAATGTTGACTAATGTAAACACTTCCCCCAAGGTTAAAATTGCTCTGCGAACCTCAGGACACCTGTTGCTGGGAGTGGTGCGAATCTACCACCGAAAAGCCAAGTACCTTCTGGCAGACTGCACTGAAGCCCTACTTAAAATGCAGTCAACCTTCCGTCCAGGTATGCTTGCACTCACTGTGTGTGTGTTTTTTTTTTTTAATTTATTGCAGCAGAGTAAACAACTTGGTTGATGTTTTGGACTGAAACTTCATAGAATCAAAGAATAGTAGAGTTGGAAGGGGCCATGAAGGCCACTGAGCCCAACCCCCTGCTGCTGCAGGACACCACGTTACACCATCCCACTCATCAACTTCCATCAACCCAGTGTCAGCATAGTCAATGGTTAGGTATTAAGGGAGTTGTCATCCAAACATTTGGAGGGCACAAGGTCGCCTGCCTGTGGCTTACAGCATCAGGGCTGGGGTGCAGCATAAGGAAGGAGCAGTTAGATTTCTGTGGATCTTCTAGCAAATTAGATCATTTTGTGGACTCCAAAGTGGATTATTAACATAACTGTTCACAGCTATTCTCCTGACTACAGAAGAGGGACTAGTGTGCAGTATCCATGATCCATATGGCTTTACTAAGGCTATCTCAGTTGCAGGTGATTATCCTATACACACTTACCTGGGAGTAAGTCCTACTGCACTCAGTAGGGTTTATTTCTGAGTGTATACCTGTAGGTTTAACTCACAAGTTTTTAATAGCTTGTATTTCATTGTTAAAAATAATTGTGTCATGTTTTTGTTCTCATTTGCAAAATGATGTCTATGAAAAATGACATGAGAGTAGTTAATGATGAATGCATAGGAAAGCAATGTATGACCCCAAACCTGCAGGCAGCCCATGAAATCCTAAAAAAAAAAAAGCCATTACTAACAACAAAAAGGTTTCTGGCTCCCAAGGGTGTTGAGAGATTTAGTATTGTGTGGTTTAAACAAAAGATACAATGCTGGAAACCAGCAGACAATAAAAGAGAGGCCCCAGTAAATTTTTACCACTCCATATCTATGCCTCATGAGGACTCTTCTGGAAATGGGAGTTTTGGAACAGAGACGAAATAACATTGAAAAATAGGAGGCAACAAGCACTATTCATCTAGTTCGATGCCAAGAAGTTCCCTTTTGAGAAGAGCTACAATCCTGTGCTTGCTTTCCTGAGAGTAAGTCCCTCTGAACTGCTGCCAGCAGCCCATCCAGTAAATGGGGCACATAAAGGGAAGGGATCCAAGGATGGGGCTGCTCTAAAACTTCTTCCCAAAGTCAGATAACCTCAGGACATGACCATGCTATTTCCAACCTCTGAGGAATCCGCTTGGTTTATTTTCTGAGCCAATCCAACCTGAATCAAGGAAATTGCCCATTTTAAAAAAATAATCCTCATTTATCTAATCCATTCTGATATAATATTTGCAGTATTCAACACTCTTAATATCACTTGTGACATGGACACAGCTTTGGTTTTTTTATTGGTTGTAGATATTTTTTTTTCCTGCCGGAGATTGATGGCAGGAAATTATACAAAAAATAATTGTAATAGGTCACTATTAATCTTTCTTTTTAGGACTTGTTGATCTCCCAAAAGGGAACTCTGAGGCAACTTATGATGCGATCACATTGCCAGAAGAATTTTATGATTTTGACACACAGCTCCCTGAGGTGAAGTAAGTATTTTTGCATTTGGAGTCTCTTTTTCTTCAAGAGTTTTCTTAGGATGCATCCACTATTGACAGCTGTTCACATTAATCACTCATATTCATGGGAGGATGCAATTAAATCATAACTGATTTCCACAATGGCTCCACTTAGCCAAGATGATAAGCCATGATGGTTTATAAGGCAGGGGTGGCCTGTTGTATTGTCTAGCAGCTTGGTTTGTTAAGTACACATAAGCCACAGGGGACAAGTTCAGTTAACACAAAAAGCAATCCCTGGCTTATAAATCACCATGACTTATTGTGTTGTGTGAACCGCACAGCGTATTAAACCATGGTGGATTATAAACCACAGCAGTTTAGCATGTTGACTGATCCCAGCACTCTTTCTGAAGAGTGGACACTTGTTCTCAGAGACACAATACATATGCAAATTGCAACTTAATAGTCCACTGCTAATTTTTTCAGAAGTTTTTAAAAGATGAAGGCATAGAAAGTAGCCTTCATACCAGAATTCTCCGGCTTTTTTAGGGGTGGCATTCATGTGGCCCTGGGCTGCCCTCACTTTCCCAAGTGTGGATAACACAGAGGCAGTTTATTGAAAAGTCATACTGTGGCCAGCAGTGAATGATAGGCCTTGGCTCAGTGGACACCTCCATGCTCCTGCAGTGTCCCCTTCCTGCCTGGTCATTTTTATACACAAAGGAATTTCAACCACAGTGCCTGATTAAAATTCTCAAGGGGTTTAATGTGTTGTGTGAAATAGTGTCCTTAGCTTTCTGAAGTCAGCGTTTGCACAAAATCCTGTTGTCAAAGGCATGGAGGTTTTTGCATGATTTAATATTAACTATTTGACTTTCAATATTGGTTCTTTTTCCCAACTAAGCCCCCAGCACCATTTCAGTGACTAGTTCCTAGTCATTTTTTAATTCTATAGTTTGGCTTTTCTCAACTCCTTTTGCAGATACCATTCATTCCCATGCCTACCCTCTACAAATTCTCCTGCCACAATCCAGACAGGAAGTGGACAAATATATATATGTGATGCAGTTGGGGCCAACCAGGTGCTAGGATGGGACCTGATATAAGGACTTCAAGAGAGATGTTGCTTTCAGTGGAAACAGCAGTGCTGTAGGAGATTACTTGTTCCATATTTTTAATCTCTTTACACAGGATTTAGTCCTGGAGATTGTACAAAAACATTTTTAAAATAAAATATCACAGAACGATAGGCAGTGCAACTGTGGGGATAAGGATATCCTTCACAGTGTTTAATTTTTAATATATTTCTTTAAAAATTAAGATTAGTATTCCTGGTGGAGTGATAAACTTGTACAGTCCAGTATTATTGTTTTCATAATGTACTTGTCTTGAACCAAAGAAGAGTCATGCTAAATCAGGCCAAAGATCTGAGTCCAGCATTCTGTTCACACAGTGGCCAACCAGCTGCCCATGGGAAACCCAAACATGGCATGAAGGTAACAGCACCCTCTGGCCTATCTTCCCCTGCAACTGAGGCATACTACCAAAACTGAAGATGTCCTTTAGCCATCAGCTCTAGTAGCCACGGCTTACTTTATCCTCCGTAGATTTATCTAACCCTCTTTAAAGCCATCCAAATTGGCCAACATGACATCTTGTGATAGAAAATTCCATGGTGTAACCATGCACTGGCTGAAGAAGTAAACAAAAATAGTAACAGAAGCAGCCCTGTTTTGCTAAGTGTTTCTCCGCTCTTCTAACCCAGGCCTTTGGGCACTTTGTAAAAGACGGTGTATGTGTAATTGGTGTGGAAATAAAAAATAGTAAGTAATATCTTAGAAATTTATAGACAAAATACAGTTCTGTTAAGCAACGTTTTTTCAGTTTAGTCACTTCATTGTAGGTGATGCCATATTATTCCTCCTCAGTGCCATTGATGTTGCCCAGCATTTTACACTGAACCAGAGCAGAGCTGAGGACATCACACTGATTGAGGAGGATCTTAGGCAAGACGTGCTTTTCCGTGGTGACAGTTTTGGTGAGGTGGCAGTTTTTTCTTTAAAAGTCAAATTAGGAATGGTAGGTTAGGCACTAATATTAAGTTTTGTTAATTGCACCCTCAGTGATCAGAATCATCTAGTGCAGGGTGAAAGGAGCAGCAGCGGTAATCTTTTCCTCTCCATCCTCCCACCCTGCACTTTTCTTGGCAGATGGGCTTTTTTGTAAGCATGGAGGGCATGTTCGATTTGGAATGAAATAGATTAGAAGGCATAGCCTAACCTTTTCAGTCTCCTTCCATCCCCAACTGCCAAAGCACCCCTCTTTCCCCTTCTCTTAGATTGCTTTACCAGTTTCAGAAACTGCCTAGCACATTTCTCTCTGCACCACTCACGAGGGATGGAGAGGTGGGCCAGATTTCTGACTCCCTTTTTCAGGATGAGAAAGCCAGCCAGGGATTGTGAATATCTACTGGGGAGAACATGATATATTACCAGCAATCGTGGAAAAACTCCACTCTTGCTCATCAGGATGTGTGAACCTCACCAATGTGCAAACCCAGCCACAAGAGTGCTCCTTTATTTTCAGTTCCTAAAAGTGCAATTCTGTGCACACTTAATTGGGAGTAAGGCCCTCTGAACTCAATACATTTTATTTTTGACTTGCTGCATATAGGACTGAAGTGTAAAATTTTTATACTTTGAAGGGTTTGTTGAATGAGCCACTCATTTGTTCTCAGGCCATATGCAAACCAGGATGGTTGTACATTGGTTTAAAGGGTATATTGGTTCAACCCTCTAAACAAAAGGATCTAAATAACAGTCAGTTTAGATTGTGTTTCCTGTTACAAGATTGCCTATAGAGCTGAACACTGCAAGCTGCACAGTTTTCTTCTAAGTACTTATGGTCAAGTTACAGGCTACAAAGTGCAGGCATACATAACTACCCCTGTAGTATTTTCTTTTCTTTTGTTTTTTACCTTGAAAATAGCTTGGAGTGGAGAGAAAACAGAGAAAGAAGGCATAAATAAATAATACCCTCCCCTAGTTTTCTACATGGGATTTCAAAAGCATGAACCTCTGAGTCTCTGAGCACTCCTAAAATTATTTTTCAAGATTAAAAAGAACATTCAGGCTACTGTTACACTTGTTTGAATGCAATGCTTAATTTCACCCTATGTTGCTTGCAGACCTTTGCCATAGCACATGAGGAGGATGACGAAATGCAGGTGTGGCTTGCAAGATGGAAAGGAGCCTTGTTGAAGTCTGAAAATTGTCAAATGAATATACTAAAAAGAATGGATCTTGTTTTTATCATGCTTTTTTACTGCAGAATTATAGAAACAGAGCAAGTCAGAAGGGGTCTCCCAGGCCATCTAGTCTGACCTCCGGCACCAGCCGGCTCCACTCACAACATGCCCACCATGTGCATATCCAGCCTATCCTTGAACACCCACACCGATGGGGCCTCAACGACCTCCCATGGAAGCCCATTCCCACCCTCGGGGTCCTGACTGTCAGGAAGTTCTTCCTGGCATCCAAATGGAACCTTGGCTCCCTGAGCTTTGCTCTGTGTGTCCTGCCTTCCTCTGCAGGAGAGAACAGGTCTCTACCCATCTCCATGTGAAACCCCCTCACATACCTGTATGTCGCCAACAGATCCCCTCCGAGTCTCCTCTTCTCCAGGCTGAAGAGACCCAGTTCCCTCAGTCTCACCTCATACGGCATCCCCTGCAAACCGGCCACCAACCTTGTGACCCTATGCTGCACTGACTCCAACCTGGCTATATCCTTTCTGTAATAAGGGACCCAAAACTGAGCACAATACTCCAGTTGCGGGTGCACCAGAGTCGTATAGAGTGGTAGTAATACCTCTCTTGATCTAGAAGCCACACTTCTGGCTATGCAACCAAGGGTGGCGTTCGCCCTCTTGACCACCGCATTACACGGCTGGCTCACATTCAGCCTGCAGTCAACCTGCACCCCGAGGTCCCTTTCACAAGTGCTGCTCTCCAGCCACTTGTCCCCCAACCTGTACTTATGACAGCTATCCCTATGCCCCAAGTGCAAGACCTTGCACTGATCCACATTGAACGCCATCCTGTTGTCTCCTGCCCACTTCCATAGTCTGTCCTTTTGGATCTGGAGTATCTGCTCCTCAGTTGTGGCCACTGCTCCAGTTTTAGTGTCGCCTGCGAATTTGATCAGCAGACTGTTCACCCCTTCTTTCATGTCATTAATGAAAAGATTAAACAGGATCAGCCCCAGGACAGAGCCCTGGGGGACCCTGCTTGTCACTGGCCACCATCCTGATGATTCCCCACTAATGGTTACCTTCTGCTTTCGGTCAGTCAACCATGCCCTAATCCACCAGACAGTGCTTTGGTGTAACCCAAAACTCCTCAGTTTCTCCACCAGGATATCATGGGGCACTTTGTCAAAGGCCTTGTTGAAATCCAGGTAAACCACATCCACTGCATCCCCTCCATCTAGCCATCACGAAACCTTGTCATAGAATTCCACAAGGTTTGTCTGGCAGGACTTTTTGCAGAAGCCGTGTTGTGCGGCTGTCAGCCTCCCTTCCCTATCTAGCATCACTAGATCTCTATTATGAGCCTTTCCATTTTTTTCCCTACAATGGACGTAAGGCTAGCAAGTCTATAATTCCCCATGTCCCTTCTACTACCCTTTTTGAAAATTGGGACCACTGACAGCACCCTCCCATCCTCTGGAACCTCACCTGTTCTCCACGAGGCCTCAAAAATGGAGGCCAACAGGCGTGAGAGAACCCCTACCAACTCTCTAAGTATTCTCAGGTGTAACCCGTCAGGGCCTGGTGCCTTTGTAATGTCCAATGTCCTGAGAAGCCCCTCGACTTCAAGGGGGGGTGACTCTAATCTGTGCCCCTAAGTCCCCAGCCTCATCTAATCTCCTATGCGGATCTCCCCCGTCCTGCTTTGGAGAGAACACAGAGGCAAAATAGTCACTTAGCATCTGTGCCTGTTCCCTCATATCAGTCACTGGATCTCCTTCCTTCTTTTTTAGTGGCCCCACCACTTGTCTCCCCTTCCTCTTCCTATTTACATGCTGAAAGAAACCCTTTTTGTTGCTCTTGATATTCTTGGCAAGTCTCAGCTCGTAATCAGCTTTAGCCTTGCGAAGAATCCTTCTGCAACGGGCCTCCTCCACCCGGTATACCCTTTTGTCTATTTCCCCCAGTACCCATTTCCTACGGAGGTTCCTCTTTCATCTAATCCCTCTAACCACCTCCTTTTGCATCCATGGCAGTGCTCTCCTCCGCCTCCCCACCTACTAACTAGAGGTATCGCCAAGGCTTGCGCCTCCAAAACCTCCCTTTTCAGTGCCATCCACCCCTCCTCAACTCCCTTGCCTTCCAGTAACCCATCCCAGGAGACTTTCCCCAGTCTGGCCTTCAGTTGTTGGCCCTCAAAGTTGGCCCTCTCGAAGTCCCAGCTTCTAGTGCTCAACCTGCTGCACGTCCCCAGTCCCCTGATCTCAAAGCAAAGGATGGAGTGATCACTCGCATCCAGAGCTCCCCTAATCTGTACTTCATCTATCAGCTTCTCTCTATTGGTCAAGACCAAGTCAAGGATGTTTCCCCCCCTCATCGCCTCTCGGACCCTCTGTGTGAAAAACCCTCCCTCTATAGCTTCTAGGAAGCGATGTGACCTGGCTGTCACCACTGTGTGAGTCTCCCAACTAATATCCAGGAGATTGAAATCTCCCATAATGACTGTGTCTCCCCACTGAGATATCCTTAGAATTTGGCCTGTCAGGACATCATCCAGGGTCTCAAGTTGACCTGGAGGGCGAAAACATACCCCCACTGTCAGGTCTCTTTCCCTGTCAAAACCCCTAAGTTTCACCCAGACTGCCTCTACCGAATCCCCATCTGTGCTGCATTCCATCTCACTGCATCCTATCCTTCCCTGATGTATAAAGCCATGCCCCCACCTCTCTTTCCCTTCCTGTCCTTTCTAAAAAGGTGATACCCTTCTATGTTCACATTCCAGACTTGCCCTTCATCCCACCAAGTTTCTGTGATTCCCACCAGGTCATACCCTCCTATTCCCAGGAGAACTTCAAGCTCTTCCTGCTTATTACCCATACTCCTAGCATTGGTGTACATGCACCTCAACTCCTTCCCACCACTTCCTTTCCTTGGAGTTCCCAGCCTCCTCCTTACTCCCATCCTCCCTGATACCTGGCCCCTCTCTGTAGGAGTCCTGTCAGTTCCTGCAGTACCTCTAAAACCCTGCTCCCAGAGCCCTGATCCTCTCCCCACACTTGTCCAGTGCAGACATGTTTCTGGGGGGCCTGAACCTACACACACCCCAGCTCAGTTTAAACTCTTCTGGACGAAGCTCGCTAGAGCATCTCCAAAGGACCTTTTCCCCATCCTCGTGAGGTGTAACCCGTCCCTTGCCAGAAGTCAATTGGCAAGAAACCGGGTGCCGTGGTCGAGGAACCCGAAGCGTTTCTTCTGGCACCACACCCTGAGCCAGTTGTTCACCTCGGAGACCCTCCTGCCCCTTCCTGGCCCAAATCCCCGGACCGGTAAGATAGACAAGAAGGCCACTTGGGCCTTCAGCTCCCTGAGTTTCTTCCCCAAGGCCTTGAAGTCCCTGGTGATCCCGACCACACCCTGCCTGGCCACGTCGTTTGTGCCCATGTGGATCACCAGGAGCGGCTGGTGACCCCCGGAGCAAACAAGACGCTCCACTCTGTCCTTCACATGCTGGATGCGTGCACCCAGCAGGCAGCAAACCTCCCCCATCTCCAGGTTGGGGCGGCACACTGCCGCCTCAATGCCCCTCAGCAGGGAGTCCCCAACAACAATTACCCGCCGCCGTGTCTTCCTGGTGTTGGTGGGCGGCCGTGCCCTGGCCCTCCTCTCTCCTGCAGCGGCCCCCTTGTCGCTTGTTGTCCCAGGCTGGGTATCCCGCTGGTCCCCCAAGGATTCATCTCTAGACAAGTTTTTGCTCAGCTGTTTCTGCAAATACTGTATTTATTATTACAATTACACCTTGCTTGTGTGCACATGTGTGTGTGCATGTGTGTGTGCACACATCTTCAAGTGTGCACACAGACAAGCCCAACTGAGATGAATTGGATTACTGATATGTGATAAAGGTTTAATGATATGTGTTTTCACAGGTGAAGAAATTGACATTTCAAGACAGCATAGTTTTTTCGGTGATAGCTTATTGACTAATTCCAGTAGCCTCTTGGCAGATCACAGTTTACAGCTGAATTTTAGTGGAGACAAAATTGCATTGGATAAAGATGCATATGCATTAAAGTATGATGGGTTTGGAGATGAAGGAGCTGGAAGAGATATGATTGGTATGTATACATTCTGGCAAGATGGAGGCAGTGTGGGTTGATGGTTCTTAGGTCCAAGAAATTGGGGTACAGACTGTTCTGGATGTGGTAGCACTTCCTCTGGAGAAGGAGGTGCACTGGTTCAGATGTTCTTGGATTGAGCATTATCTGTTGAGATCCAAGTGGATCTCATAGCAAGAAGTGCCCTTTATCTAATTTCCTAGACAGATTATCAGACTACAGTGATCCATGCTCTAGTAAACTCCAGGCTGGATTGCTGTAATGCATTATTAATGGGGCTTCCACTGAAATTGGTTCAAAAGCTCCAACTTGTACAGAATTTAGGTCCTTGTATAAGGGACCTTCGTGCGCTAATGGCACTATGTGCATGCAGTTCTTTCTTGTGTGTAGACTGGAGGGTCCAGGGCTAGCTTGCACTGTTCCATAAACCCACGCAATCCCCTAATGTCATAACTTTTAAGATGGGAAAACTTTACAGCTGGGTTGAAATGAAAAGCAATTCAGCTCATATACAAAACTATCTTTTGATAGAATTTTACCAGAGTTGCACTCTGCCTCAGTAATTTCATGTAACCTACTGAGCAATTGTTTGTTTGTTTGGGGGGGTGCATATTTATATTATAGAGGGGAAGATAAGAGTGAGATCAATAACTATTTACTGTGTTCACATGAAATGGTGAGCCAAGATTCTAGCAAATCCTGAATTAACACGAATGAGTAGCATCCCAGTGCATGAAGCCATTTGCTCGTGCTTGGCTCATCCCACTAGTGTGAGCAGCTAAACAAACCAGTTTCATGACTTGTTCTCAACCACAACAAGATTTGTAGGCAACAGCAAGTTCTGGTATGCTATCCTGGTTTGTAAAGGTGGCAACACGCCATGATCCTGGGTTCAGACAACAAGCTAAACTAACTTCCCCCAATCTGTGTGCCAGAGTACAATTCCCATCATCCCCAGCTAGCATGAGGAAGATTTTACTAAACTATTTCTGGTTTGCATGGTCACCAGAGAACGCAGGTACACTGGGGGCGTACAATCAAACGGACATGTACAGTTCATTCAAATGTACAGGAAATGCATGCAGCATGTAGGCACCCACCCAAGGGACTGCCAAGATGGAGTCCGTACAGGATGCTTTTGTAATGCGTCAGTTTCATTCACAGTTTGTGCGAGGATGGGGGATCACATACACAGTAGAGGCACATTAGGATAAGTTCATAGTGGTGCATTGTCTTAAGACAACACAGAGAAAAGAACGTTCAGGACATAAACAATTAGCATGTCTCAGAGTACACTTCCAAAGGAAGACCTTTCAGGATAGGGACATTTACGTTTCGAAGTGGATTCTTGATCAGGTCAGGAATTGCATCTTAAGTCTAAAGCAGTTCTTACAGTGTATGGTTTTAGCAACCATATTATGGCAGAGCTTTCACTCACTTTGTCCTGAAAGTGGCAACACACCAGTGAGAGGAACCAAAAAGAAGCAAAAAGAACATGCACAGTAGAAAGGATGGATTTTGTGGTTTCATTATAACTTCAAGAAAATAGCACACGTTCTCCAGAAATGCATATGATTAAACAAAAAACCACCCTACAGCCCTACTACCCTAAGGTTCTAGAAGTATCTGGATCTTCCTTTTCACTTTTCTTGGCAAATGAGATAATACAGGCCCAGCTGTTGTAATCTCCCCTCATAAAAGAGAATATATTATTTTCAGTAATTGTTGCAGCCCCTTCAAAGTAAGATTACACTGGGTCACCAAACCATGATTAGGGAGAAGAGGATCCATCAAGTCTTTGCAAAACTGAAAGAAAGAAGGAACATTATAGAGGATTGATTTTGCAGAACTAGTTAGGCAGTTCAGTTGATCCTAGCCAGTACCTGGATCCCCGTTGTTTATTCTGAGCTTTGTTTGCTTTGAAACACTATCTCACAGGAAATTCATAAAACCAGCTGGATAAAGTTGATCCCCTTTCACCCTTTTTAAAAGTGTACCTTTGAAGTAATCCATGTTGTCCCCCAGTGGATTACACACAGAATGTTGGTCGCATTGTCCAGAGTCTTATAACTCATACTGCTTGTGCAGGCACTGCTCCAAATTTTGTAGGACTGAGAATTCTACATAAGTCCTTCAAAATAATTGCTGGTAATGGTTCCTTGAGTACTGCATAAGCTATGCTTTGTTGGCCTTTGTAAAAGACTTAGATTTAACTATCTGACCTCAGTCAAAATTATTTACGTAATTGCATTTCACTATAAACATACTTTTATTTTTGTATTCATGTTGTTGGCATTCTTGAGAGCTGGAGCGGACCCTACTTTGTAGCCCTGAGACAGTGTTCCTTATAGCTGGTCATTCCTTTCTTAATGTTACTCATTTTCCCACTAGGCATGAAACCACAGCATCTTCTGAGATTCCTGGTAGCTGCATTGCTTGTTACTATTTTTAAGATGTGGGTTGATTTCTGTTAGTCACTCCCATAATTGGCAAGACATGCAGAACATTGCCTAAAAGTGTAGTATGAAGATCTGCAGGCCTTTCCTCCCCAGTTCCACCTCAGCAGTGGCTGATGCAAGAACAGTACTAAGATGTTACTGAGATCGGCAGCAGAGGCCTCCTCCAGGAACCCTCTGTGAAAGAGGTCAGGAGACAGAGTACCCGGAGGAGGGCCTTCTCTGTGGTGGCACCCCGTCTATGGAATGCGCTCCCCAGAGAGGTCCACCTGGCACCGTCATTATATGTTTTTCGGCGCCAGGTTAAGACTTTTTTATTTAGTCAATATTTTAACAAGTTTTAATATGGAATTTTATTACCATATTTTAATTGCAGCCAGAGTGGGTCGTTAATTTATTTATATTATACTGTTATGTATTGAATTTTATTTGGGTAAGCCGTCCTGAGGCTCTCACAAAGGACAGCGTACAAATATCTTAAATAAATAAATAAATAAAATGTTATCACCCATATTTTGAGGGACAAAAAGAAAACAGCCTCAACTGACATAAACTAGGGGTCCATCTGGATTCCTGCCACGCAGTATGACAAAATCATGAGCTATGTGAGAACTGGAAGTTGAGCCAGGAAGTTCCATACCTAGGTTCCACAGTGGCTGTTCGACTTCTTAAGTGGGGAAATGTAATATCGTGGGTCCTCAAACTATGGCCCGGGGGCCAGATCTGGCCTGCTGTGCCCATTTATCCAGCCCGCCATGCCCATTTGGACCCCCCACACCCCGCACGCAGGGAGGCAGAGGTTTGGTGGCCGGGAGAAAACGATCTCCAAGCAAGTAAGCCGTTGCCTCATGCGCCTGCCTTGCGGCACGTGCCTGCCCCCGCCCGCGCCTCGCCTCACTTTGCCTCATCGCACGCCCTGGACCGCGCACACCGCCAACACCACCTTTCCGGCCTGCACCCAGCACCAGCACCTTTCAACTGGCCCCCTGGTGAAAAAGTTTGAGGACCCCTGTGTAATATGGACAGCATAGTTCAGATCTAGATTGGTATTCTGCATGGCTGTCCTCCTGTAAAAATCTGCCCCCTCTCCTACCACACATGCACATGCAAACAGCCAAAAAATTTACCCTCACAAACATTCTTCTGGCACCTTCTAGACAGAAACGCAACTGGGCTATGGCATTTGGAACAGAAAAACAGCAGGCAGGGAAAGCATGAAGAACTCTTTCCTCACCACTCTCACTGCTGCTTCTTTACACGAACCTGCTTTTTAAGGCTGCGGTGCCTGGCCATCAGGTTTAACCACACACAAGTGCATAAAATGTCTAGTTCAGCCTGAACACACCTATTTTGCAAATCCTTTTTCCGCATGTAAACTTCTGCATAATGTCAACTGTGTATTTTCTTAAGATGATGTGCTTGGAACCGAGCAGAATAGCTTCATTACAGACTTTGACATGGAAGAAGAATGTTTTTTACCCCAAGAACTTCCTGTTGATAATACAGTGGGTGAGTTTGTAACCTGTGTTATACCTTCTGAACTTCGTCTGTCAGCTTCTTGCAGTTTGGCTAATGCCCCCCAAAATAAGACTTCCAGTGGGGTAATTGTGTCAGTCTGTAGCAGCAAAATTAACAAAGGGGCTTAGGGCATATGAAAGATAAGCTTAGGGCCTACTTTATCAGATGTATGGAGTCAACAAGTACACAAGGGAATAGAGAGAGAAAAAACTGTAAATACATGGATCAAAGGGAAAGGAAATGCAAAGGATTTAGTCTGTGATAAGTGACCATATCACATCATTTATTATTTTTGTCTCCTTGCTGATTATACGTAAAAAAAATGCAGAATTACAAAGTGTAAAGTAGCTAGCAAGAACTCACTTTCCCTCAGGCATATGTTCCACTCTTTAAACTTCTATTTCCATGGGTTTTACCATTCAGACTTTATAATCAATTTATTTTTATTGGCTGTGGATTGGTGTTTTGTAGACCATCCCAAATCTAAGGAAGAATCAAGAAGCCACAAACTTAATGAAACCACACAATTGTCGAGTGAAGATGAAGGCTTTGTGCTTCAACCAATTGATGATGCAGGTTAGATGTATCAGTTTCTTTTTTTAAATAAAGATGTAATCCTTGTCTGATAGTACATTCAGAAAAATCATTCCATTTTGTTGTGCATACCTTTCATCGGAGATGACCTATTTCTTAACTCTTAGGCTTTCCTGGGCTCTCAAAAATGGTATTATTGTATCTTTCTCACATGCTTATATTTATCGTCAAGAAGAAAGTATTTTTTTTACCATATGAAAGTTTTGGTAAATGTAATTATGTTTGCAGTGTGCGGAACTGAACTGTGGTTTCTGTATAATTAGCATTCCTTAGAATGGCTTGTAACACATAGATTGTAAATGTTTCTTCTACCTAGTGCTAACAAGAAAGCAAAGAGGTAAAAGGAAAAGGAAATTACTTGTTGATGCAGTGAAGCAACTAAGTGGAGCCGCCATGCAAAACCAGCTTATCATCTACAAGGACACCATGGCGCCATTAGATATTGCGCCCCCAACAAAAAGGCTGATGATTTTGCAGGAGCTGGGCAGTGCGGATGTGCTTCTGAACAGACCTACTCAGCCTTTACTCAATGAAGAGCTGCAAATGGTAATATCTGATCACTGTGTGTCCTGTTTCATGTTGCCATACAGCCAATGGAAAACTGGTGTGTCTAGGTTAGGGCTTCAGCGCCTAAGGTGTTTTCACAGCTTCAGTGTCCGTGCCGCTTTTATTGCGATTGTCCGTGAAAGAGGCACCCTGCAAGTTGCTGGGGAACAGGGGAGTGAGCCATTGCTCTTATGTCCAGCTTGTGGGCTTCGCAAAAGCCTCTGGTTGGTCGATCACTGTGGGACACAAGATGCTGAGCTAGACACGCCTGTAGGCTAATCTGGCAGGGCTCTTATTTTCTTAAGGCGTTCGTAAATTTTAGGCTTTAATTCCAAAAATTGCTAAGGAATAGTTTTGAAGTCAAGAGATTAATATATAAAAGTGAAGAGTGGTGTAATACTTAACTGATTAGAGCGAGTGGCTCTTTCGCAACGTGAGCCCATCATCCTCAGCTTGACTTCACAACGTGCTCTGCATGTGTATATGCCAGCTTGTCAGACAGCAGGACAGGCAACACTCTCACCACTCTTCTCATGAAAATGAGGGGGCTACTTGGCCTGTGTGTGTGTGTGTGTGTTTAATACCAGGCTTGTAGACTGATCCATTGGTACATACATCATTGAACATATTGGACATACACACATACACTCCTTTGCAAACACTTAAGTGGGGCTGTCAAAAGTACGGAGTTCTTTTAAAACAAGATTTTTGACAGGTCTAAACAGGGTTTTTGATAGGGACATGAGCAGCCATGAAATCTCAACACTCTAAGAGTATAGGCAGCTCTTTATATTGTGTCTAAGCAAGTTTCTTTTGTCTAATACAGTCTACTCTGACTGGCAACATGCTTCCAGGTTGTGAGGTGGGGATCTTTCCTTAATTTAACTGGAGATGCTAGGGACTGAAACTGGGAATTTGCACATACAAAATGCATGCCCTGTATTACTGAAATATAACCTTTCTTCCAATAATTTTAAGCTCAGGTGCAACTTTAGTAACTTTTCCTTCCTCTTGAATGACAGCGCTGGCATTATTCCTGGTGTGGTCATTGCTTATAGTCTAATAACAATGACATATTCATGATACCTGATTTGGGTTCCCACAAAATCTGAGTTGGTGGGTGCATCACTTGGAGCTGGAATTAAGAAGGGCTTTGGCAGACTCTTTAAATGGACTTCAATTCATGTAGACATTGTTGCCAAGGGGGAAAAGTGGTTTAAAGCTCAGGTTTGAAAAAGTCCAGAATTATATAGAAAAAAAAATGTGTTCTTGCAGCTGTTTGTTAAAAGTCTAAGAAATAGAAGGAAACAGATGCAACAAGAGCGTGAAGTAGAAGAACAAAGCAAAAAGCAAGATGCCCAAGGTGAGGTTTTCGTATTTTTCTATTGAAATTGTTAGAACTGCTCCCTCTCCGCTTTTTTCTGAAATAAGAATGCTTTATTTACTTCAGTGTTTCTGCTGGAACACATTCAGCAAGTGCACTTGTGCAGAACAAAGTGATTAACTCTGCGGGGTGCCTTGTAACAATCCAGTGCTGTTTTGAGGCTGGGCTTGGGGTGGGGAAGTAAAACTGTTGCATGTAGAATAACAGGTATGGAGACATGGGCCAAAATCTGCACTGGCAGAAGGTAGATCTGTCTCCTTACCCTAACACTGCCATTGGGAAAAATGGTTTATACTCTCGTTCAGAAATTAATGACTTCTGTCAGCTTACTCTTTTCCTGTTTAACTACTTTCAAAGACTCCTTCAAACTAAGACAAAATCTTTCCTTTCCCATAACACTGGTGACCTAAGGTATGGGCAATCGATACTTTAGCAGTGTTCCTGTGAACAATGATTTCTTATTCTTTAAAGAGAACGTACTCTACTAACTTCTACTGCTGAAAGTTATAGATCAGACCTCACAGTCTCCTTGATAACACCCAGCCAAAACAGGGTTATTATTCAGAGAGATATAAGGACTTCACCCCACTTTCTCCTTTCAGCCATGCCAATGGCTTTCCAATGGAGGCTTTAGTATTCTTAAAGAGATGCAGCTGGCAGAAGCAGTCTTGGGCAGTCCATTGTTCATAGCCATTGATATAGGCCAACTGGTTCTTGCCTACTATGGAATAGTTTCAACAAAACCCAGATCAATTAGTGTGAAGCCATTGTGATAGAGAAAAAATGAAAATTTACTGCAGATCAAAATAATGTTACCCTCTGAAAAGAAATAACTGCACGCTTTGAAAAACACAGAAACATGGAAACAGAGCGAGTCAGAAGGGGGTCTCCCGGGCCATCTAGTCTGACCTCCGGCACCAGCCGGCTCCACTCACAACATGCCCACCATGCGCACGTCCAGCCTATCCTTGAACACCCACACCGATGGGGCCTCAACAACCTCCCATGGAAGCCCATTCCACACCCTTGGGGTCCTGACTGTCAGGAAGTGCTTCCTGGCATCGAAATGGAACCTTGGCTCCCTGAGCTTTGCTCCGTGTGTCCTGCCTTCCTCTGCAGGAGAGAACAGGTCTCTACCCATCTCCATGTGACACCCCCTCACATACCTGTATGTCACCAACAGATCCCCTCCGAGTCTCCTCTTCTCCAGGCTGAAGAGACCCAGTTCCCGCAGTCTCGCCTCACACGGCATCCCCTGCAAACCGGCCACCAACCTTGTGGCCCTTCGCTGCACTGACTCCAACCTGGCTATATCCTTTCTGTAATGAGGGGCCCAAAACTGAACACAATACTCCAATTGCGGGCGCACCAGAGTCGTGTAGAGTGGTAGTAACACCTCTCTCGATCTAGAAGCCACACTTCTGGCTATGCAACCAAGGGTGGTGTTCGCCCTCTTGGCCACCGCATCACACTGCTGGCTCATGTTCAGCCTGCAGTCAACCAGCACCCCGAGGTCCCTTTCACAAGTGCTGCTCTCCAGCCACTTGTCCCCCAACCTGTACTTATGACACCCATTCCTATGCCCCAGGTGCAAGACCTTGCACTTATCCACATTGGACGTCATCCTGTTGTCTCCTGCCCACTTCCAGAAGGAAGGAAACAAGAAGGAATTCCAGAAGGAAATGTGTTCTGCCCTTGCACTGACAGAATGAACCAAAGAGTTACATTCCGACAGTCTTTGTTGTTGTTGTTGTTGTTGTTGTTGTTAGTCGCGAAGTCGAGTCCTACCCATCGCGACCCCATGGGCAACATTCCTCCAGGCCTTCCTGTCCACCATCCCCCGGAGGCCACCCAAGCCCACACCCACTGCCCCAGTGACCCCATCCAGCCACCTCATCCTCTGCTGCCCCCCCCCTTCTTTTGGCATCTGTTGTTCCCAGCATTAGGCTCTTCTCCAGTGAGTCTTTCCTTCTCATTAGGTGGCCAAAGTATTTGAGTTTCTAATGATCTTTAAATCATTTTAGGGCACAGTCCTATGCTAAGAGATGTAGACCCTTTTCCTGTATAAATCTGCATAGGGTAGCAGTCCTGATTATTCTTTCCATTTGTATAAGAAAAACATTGAATACTTTCCTTTGTTAATAAAATCATTTTCCACACAGTAAAGATGTTACAAGTTTTTCTGCACTGAAAGGATAGCTGACCACCCATTGAAACATGTTTAAAAGTAACTCAAGTGCAAACTGACATGTTAGAAAAATCCAAAGCTTCATTTATCATGTCAAACCAACTGGAAAAGTTAGTTCTTCTTCATGGTTTCTGTGCATCACCCATATAGGCTCTGCACCTGTCCAGGCCTGTTGTCAGGAGGATTTTCCTAGCTGAGCTCATTTTGATAGGAGTCCTGCCGCCGCACTTGGCCTGTAGAGGAGGGGCTCATGCCATGTGGACAGACGTTAACTGTAATGAACTATTTTGTTTTATTGTCAGTACAGAACTGCAAGTAGCAGAAAGTCAAAGTGTTCTGCAAGACACAAGTTATCTAGAAACTCAATCTACTTTGCAAAATGGCAGAGACAAAAGTGGCAATAGTTTAACTTTTGAAGATATGGTAAGTACTGCAAATTAGTACTTCTTTGCTTAGACAGTAGGCCTGTTCCCACATTAGGCAACCCACTGCAGCTTAAATATCCAGCGGGCTAGGCACCTGTTTTACCATGATTTCTTATATATTGCAAACCCAGGCAACAGAGGTTGTTTGAAGATTGGTTAACCTCAAATAACTCTTAAGCAAGCCATGGGTTATTGGAGGGTTGTCTTCTCCTCAAACAAGCCATGGGTTCACCTCTGCTGTCTGGCAAGAAAAAAAAATATTTAAAAGGTGGCAGGAAACCATGGGAGGACTACAACACAGCAAGCAGAACACCCTGCAAGAATGGCAACTGGCACAATGCAACCTCATGGGTAAATTAAGCCATATCATGCAAACCAAATCAATATGTTATGAATGTTTCCATGAAGACTGGTAGAATTTCAGATACAGTTACTTGTGCTTCAGGATAAAAGGAAAAAGCTGTCTGAAACGTTAGTCTTTTAACCAATAAGAAGACCAAGAAATGAAGCAAACTTGTGTGCCATATGTTTGAATATGGTGATTATGGGGTACTCGGTGCTATGATGGCAAGAGCACATGTTACAAAACCCACAAAGCTACCAATTTTGTGATCCTTTCTTCCAGTTTCTTTATATCTTCTTGTATAATATAATACATGAGAGAGTTTTCCCACCACAGATATATACCACCATTCTGGTGCAAAAGCACCACTGCAGGTGGTTTAAAACATATGAAAATTACATTTTCATAAGCAGCAACAATATAAAATAGTTAACCAAGGAGACGAGGTAAGCAGTTAAAGTATAAACTGAGTGAGACAAAGACCAGAAAACACGAAGTGAGATGTTTCCACACAAGGCTTTTACAGTGTGATTGCACTACCTCCTCACGGAATTTTACAGTGGGTTCACACAGCAGAAACCTTCTAGCTTACCCATGACTTTCCATCATCTTCCATCTTTTTTCTTGCCAGAAAAAAATCTGTTAGGAAAATATGAAATACCTGCACAGTGCATTCTCTGTCTGGAAGCATCCACGGCACTGTGCCATGGTGTTGCATCATATGTTGTGTTTGTGATCATTCTGATTCTACATAACATGGCTGCTACCATTTTATAGTTCCCAAATTTTATATAGGAGGCAACAACACTTAGCTAGTCTGTATGTACCTTGTGTTTCCTTTGTTACTTCTGTTTGTCACATACAGAGACTGGATTCACATGTCAAGGCAAGCAATCATTTTTTTTATACAATTGTGGGCTTGTTGTAGTGTCCAGACCCAGTCATGATATATCACCATGGCTTATTTCCTTCCCAGAAATCATAACAAGAAAATGATGGTCTAACGTATGATTTTTGCCAACCATGATTTTCTGTTGTGATATCTGGACCTGCAAGCTCCATTTTTTCTTTCGTGGTGAAAAAACACCATAGAGTCCTGTGGAAAGGGTGGCAACCAAAGGAGTAGCTCCAGACACCAATCTCTACTACCCAACATATCTTAGCAACACACGTCATCACAGGCATTGTTGTTGTTGGCTGTGTGCTGTGCCTGTCACCCTATTCACTTTCTGAAGCAGGAAGAAACCAAGCAAATGCACAGATAGAGAATGAGGGAATCTCAGGAAAAGTGTTTATTTCAGTGTAAAAAAAAACTCTTCAGAAGCTGGATTGGCTGGAAAACAAAGTGAGGGAGGTACATTCAGGAAGTAGAAGAGGGAGAAGCACCTTCAAAACCTTAGTGGACCAATCAGGAAGAGCTAGCTGAGGTAGACAAGGAACTATATAGTAATGGAGGGGATTTTATTCACAGTGGCTGATAGAATGCATGTCCGGAACTTGAGGGAGAGAACACTACCAGCCATGGTTTGTGATCTACAGAAAGCATTTCCTTACTAAGGAAGGTTTTGGATATCTTTTTTTTTAAGAGCATGCCCTATTCCTATCTTAGCCAAATAGGAAAGCAAAGCATGAGCTTCAATTATAGAAGAGGCTGTTAACCTACTGTGTATCTGTTTCCCATATTATCAGAGAATTGAAATTGAATCTTTATGTTCCTGCCTTTCCACACATGACCTCTAGGTGGTGCAATAGTTTAGCAGAATATCACAATCACACTAATGGAGACATGCAGTTTGTTTCAGAATGGGAAAAAATTCTGCATTTTCACTGCTCCAAAAAATACCACAAACAATATTGCTAAAAAAATAGAAGAAGAAGAATGCCAAAGGTGAAACCAGATAGTGATGACATTGTCCAAAACACCCATAAACAACAGAGAGTGAGGAATGAAAACAAGTAAAAGTCTTGTGTAGAAAAACCCTTATTTTCTGTTCTGCTTCTCCTCTGACTCTAAAGGTATGGCCCAATCAAACAGATTCTTCCAGTCAAAAGCAGAGCTTTAAAGCCTCCCAGTCTGAGCTTTGCTTTCTGACAGGAAAGCAAAGTTTCCAAATAGCTCTAGAATTCCAGATTACAATAGCTGCATTTTATTAGCTTCATGGGCTCCTTGACTTCTTCATATGGGAAGAAGAACAGAAACAGATCCAACATGATTGTGCTGAGGCCTAGCCCTCCCACGAAGAATGCAAGCTACTCTATTTCTCATGATTTCCACTTAGCGCACCTCAGGCAGAGAAAAGGGAGAAGAGTACATTGCTTCAGTGAAAGTGCACTTCAAAGGGGCACATTCTTTTCTGTCACTTCCATGTGGAGGAAGTCAGGCAAATTCCTGGGGAGCTGAACCATCTGACACCAAAACCATCCCAGGCCCTGCAGCTGTTTAGGTGGCAGTCCTGCTTTCCAGGTGTGACAAACAGCCACAGAGAAAAACACTGCCCACATGAGGAACCCCTTGCCCACCATCAGCTCCATTACCAAATCAGAATTCCTGTGATGGATCAGCAAGAAAGGACGTTGGCACCAAGTTTCCCTGCAGCACAGAGTACTAGAGACAGGCACCCTGCACTTGAGAGTTTCGCATGATTCCATGCCGTCCTGCAACTCCTTCCCATTTCAGGATGGAGCTGGAGGCAATCGCAAATGGCATGTGCATGGTACACATCTCCTGAACGGTTCCGTAAAACACTTTAGCTAACCTGTCTTTATGACCACCAGCACCATGGAGCTCTGCCACACACAAGGAATCTGTTATGAGGTGGTGACAGACATCTGCACTCAAACCTTTTGATCATGCATTGCACACCATATGAGAAGTTTCATCCTGTAGAGCACAGAATCCTAGAATAGTAGAGTTGAGAGGGGCCGTGAAGGCCATCGGGTCCCACCCTCTGCTGGTGCAGGACACCACGTCACACCATCCCACTCAGCATGTTGTTAGGCGAGATACTGTTTGTCTTCCCATCCCTTTCCCTGTTTCTCCTCAGTTTTCTTCTTTGCCACTTCCATTTCTCTATTCATGTTTCTTTTTACTGTTCTCCTTTACTAGCTGGAGCACCCCTTACTACCTCAGCCACATTGCTAAATGCATAACCGAATTCACTACAAGTGAAGCTACTGATACCTCTCCCCCTTTAAACAGTATTAACTCCTACAGTTGCAGTTCTGTGTACAATTAGCTGGGAGTAAGTCCTATTGAACTTCACTGGACTTACTTCTGAAAAGACAGCATAGGATGACAAGGTTAAAAAAAACACTTCTTATAAAAGAGAAAAGGAAGAATATAGTTCTGTTTTCATAATGAACAATATTATGTTGCAGCTATTTAATCAAATGAATGTTCTGTGCATACATGAAAGTCTAATAAGTTCAGCAATTAAATTTCTGTATCATCCATTTAAAGAATGAACTTGTCTAAAAAAATCTTTGGGGCCATAAAATTCAACACAGAAGCTCTATCTAGCATCAATTATTCATCTGCTGCTTGGGAATGAGCATATGGACAAAGAGAACATAACTAAGAACTAAATGTTGTTTACTAAGACACTGATCATTTTTTCCCCTTTACTTCTAAAATCAGGAAGCCATTGATGCTGTGCCAGCTTCGTCCAATGGTTCGCTACTTGACTGCTCTGTAAGACAAGAGTCTGGGATTGAGCAAACAGGAATGGCAAATGTACGTCTGATGATTTATTCAAAACTTCATTGTTAGAATTGGTCCATCAGAGCATGATATCCTAATCATGTCTCACCTGCACAGGTTACCAGTTTGCTTCCAAGTGCAATTCAAACTGCTGCTCCTTGCCCTGGGCAGGTCAGTCCTACAGATGGCATTGGAGTGCTTTGGCCCAGTTCTCAACCAGACTCCTATCAGCAGGGCTCTACAGAAAGAGGAGCAGCATTTACCGCTCTTCCTCCCAGTTTTGTTTTGGTTTTGTTTCTAAAGCAATAGAGGAAAAATAATTCAGAGCAGCTCCAGAGTTAGTGTGAACTTGTGACCTGGCCCTGGCCCAGGCCTCTGTGAGCTTTGGATCCTGAGGATCCGGAGCCTTCCCTGATCCATCCACACCAAGTGCCTAATCTTCCCCCTTCACCATTGGAGCTCTGACATTGAAGATGTGCTGGACCGTTCCATGGGGCCAGGAGCAGAGGTCTGAAATCTGAGCTCCATCCCCGACTTCAGAGGGAAATTTCTGTGTTAATCCCCAATGTAGGAACATCAAGGAAGTGATCCAAATAATGAAGAAAAAAGGAGGCGCAAGAAAACTTTAGAGCTGTTAAATACTTTCCAGGTAAGATGTCCTAAGATGTTTTTTGACCTCACATCTGCCACAAAGTTAACAAAGCAAATGCAGATAATGTGATTGCTGTGTTCTGATCATTTGTGATAGACCATGATATAAAAATCAATGGAATTAAGATATATCCACTTTTCATTGTAAGGCGAAATTGTTAAAAGGTCCCCAGGCCCACATCCCTGGAATGTTAGGTGGCTGTCATATATATGAACACCAGTTTCTAGCGTTTGTCTTAGCTGAGCTGCCCTTCTTCAGACCCATATGTAATCCTGAAAATCTAAAGCCTTGGAAGCAACACTGCTCTAAGAGAGCAACGTATACATGAGGCACTGTATACTAAAGGGCAGGCCAGTCTGTGCCATTGCTGTGGGGAGAATGATGCTTCCACGACGAGCCACAAGCTAGGATCCTCCTTAGCAAACGGGCCTGCTGCATCAGGTCTGAGGAACGGATGGTTACGTCTGCCTGTGCATGCATGGCGCGGGTGGGGATAAATGGGAAGTGTAGGATCCAGTGGCTGGGGCCATTGGAGAGGCAGCTGGCCTCATGCGCTGCTGGTGGGGTTCCTGCAGCATCTGGCTAGCCTTTCTTGGAAACGAGATGCTGCACTAGATGGACCTCTGACCTGGTCCAGCAGGACTCTGCCTATGACTCTGTCTAGCTCCTTCCAGCAAATAAATGTTGGAAGATATAGACAAACGCATATATTTACAGAAAGTGCAGCCTCTGTCATAAGACTGACTGCTCATGGTCAACTTCATGCAAAACTCACATCACAACTTTTCTGTCTCTTCTCACCCACCCCTTTTGTTCCCCTGTGCAGCACATCCACCAAAAGGGAGCAAAGCCTTTCAGTTTTCTGGCCCTCTGCAGGAACAACAACAGTAAAGAAGTTGCAGTCAAGTTCTTTAGCTTGCTTGTTCTGAAGAAACAACAGGTGGTTGAAGTGGCTCAGGCTGCTCCCTTTGCTGACATTCTAGTGACAGTAGGTCCTAAGTTTCCTACGCTGAAGGACAGAGTGATCTCCTTTTAACCACTGGCTATTCTGATTGAAAACTGAACCCTGTATTTTATAAAGTTCTCGAAAGAGGCCTTATATCTGCACCTGAATCAAATAATGACTGTGTAGAAATATTGTTACAAATCTGCATAACAAGCTGTCTAGGGTTCAAGCTGCAAATTAGTAGAAATACCCTCTTTTTAAATGTAGGGCTGAGCATTTTGCATCAGTTCTTTATTTATTCCTGTCTTCACAGAGGATAGACGTCATGGCTATTTGCTGTTCTTTGTGGATTGTTCACTTGGTTAGCTAACACAGCCAGCTATGAAAAACAGATATTGGTGTATACTGTGGGCACACCTGTGGTCCTTCTGCAGCAAGGCCTAGCTGAATGACTAGATGCATTCTACAGTGCATCCAGTTCCTCATGGATCCCCCACACTGGTCCAGTACCTGAGCAGCCACGGTAGTGCTTCGCATTGCTGGCATGCAAGTGTTCCACCAGGAGTGTTGCATGCTTCCTCCTTTCACCCCTTGTGGTGCGCTGGAGAACCTAAAGGATGCAAAAGATAAGCTTCAAATGCTAGGTAGACAGATGCTGTTTTTCCACTAATTTGAATGTGCTACATAGAGCCATTGTTGGCCATGACATTGAGAATCATTTCCTTTGTCACTCTTCTGTTGTTATGCATCACACAGGTTTTGCCGTTTTCTGCAGTGCTACAAAAAGTAGCAAATCCTCTTGATCAGAAATGGTCCTAGGTCAGGAAAAAAATACAGTGCGAGTGGCAGCGGGTCTATAATTTCAAGTTTCTGTCTTAAATTCTTATAACATATTTTAATAACTTATTTAAATTATGTGTTTTGTTTAAAATGTGTAGTTATGTATTTACTTCTGCCTGATTTCTAAGTTGTTCTAACTCATTTACTTAATTAAAATATTTATAATGCAAGGAGTCTTGGTATTGTGGAATGTAATGTGTGTACCTTGTCCAGTGTACCTTGTTGGAAAAACAGATAAGGCTCTAAGGCAGGGGTCCTCAAACTACGGCCCGCGGGGCAGAGCCGGCCCGTCATGCCCGTTTATCTGGCCTGCCTCAGAGGTTTCCAACGTGCCATGCACACATGGGGAGGCAGCAGCTTGCTTGTTTGGAGATCATCTTGGACTTGCTCGGAAAAAACGATCTGCAAGCAAGCAAGCCACTGCATCAGGGCGCATGCCCGCCCCCACCTTGCCTTGCTTCCCCTCGCCGCATGTGCCCGCCCACCCACGTGCCCGCCTCAACACCTGCACACCCCGCACCAGCCTGCAGACCCCGCCGGCACCACCTTTCCAGCCCGTGCCCAGCACCAGCGCTTTTCAACTGGCCCCCTGGTGAAAAAGTTTGAGGACCCCTGCTCTAAGGCTATTGTTAAACAATCGGGAATTGGAAACTCTTGTCAGTCACCTATAAATCACCTGGAGATCTATCATTAGTTTCCAGTTTACCTTCTGTTCACCCCGATCTACAAATTATATTTCAAGATATTTCAAGCAAAGCATAGCTGAGAGAAGAAACTGAAAACTGTTTTCACCCTCCCTTGGCAGCAAGCTGATACTCTTCCCCTTCACCATAGATGAGGGTAGGAAGAAAGAGTTTAGCTGCAAGTGCGAAGAGCTGGAGCGTGCAAGAACTGCTTTCTTCTTCATTCCAATTTTTAAAATTATGTATGTGCACCAGGCACATTTAAGGAACCATTCGGTATATTTCAAGTTATTGTATTGAAATCTAAATTGGACTCCCTAATTTGTGATAACTCAAATGTAAATTTGATTATGCAAGTCATCCCAGAGTGTTGTTCAAGAAATAGAGTAGATAATTGGCTCCACCCCTAGCCACCATTTTCCAGCTGGATACATCTGATGAACTTTGGGTTTCTAATAAAAAACAAAAACAGTATAAATCACCCAAGTGTGATGTCTTCCGTCACAGAAATTCCAACTCTCAAGAGGATGAGGTTTCTGTTCACATGCTGACTACCAACTACTACTGTATTGAAAGTATCGAAAACTACCAAATCAAACCAATGGTCCCTCTAATTCAATATTTTCTGTACAGATTGTCAGTGGTATTCCAGAATTTTAAACAAGAGTCTTTGAGCTGATTTATGAACCTCAAGGTTTAGTCCACCATTTCAGTGGTATTTTGATAATATTTGATTTTTAAAAAAAGCCAGAAAATATTTTAGTATCAATTAAAATATCTGTTAAAATAAACAAATAATAAAAATAGCATCTACCTCAAAGGTGGGTGGCACAATATGTCACTGTGTTGAAGTCCTATCCTTGAAAAAGAGATGGAAGAGAGCACAAAGAGCATCTACTCTCATGGAGATTGATTTAGACTTCTGTTCTGGAAAAAGTAATAATTTTCCTGACTGTTAGAGCAGTATGACAATGGAACTCATGACCTAGGGAGGTTGTGGGCTCTCCTAGCTGGAGGCATTCAGGGTACAATGGGACAGCCATCTGAGAGGGATGGTTGAACCTGGATTCCTGTACCTTGGCTTTGGCCCTTTCCATCTCTTCTCTGATTCTTTGATTTCCAGAACAGGGAAGCTCAACACTGCTTGCAGAAGGGGGCTGTAGCAACGGGTCCCAGACTGGAGGCAAGCGGTTCCACTCATTCCTTGAGTTCTTTTTAGAACTGTCAAAGCCCTTTTCACAAACGGTAGGCCCTGAAAGTACAGTGGAACCAGCAGAGCCAGAGTGGCTATATTGGATATGGGCCCAAAAATACAGAAATTAGATAATGTATGTGTTTTCCTGTAACCCAGGATTTAGCAAGTGAGGTTGGGACGCCTGGTGAATCCTCAAGTTGTACAGTAAATCAAGTTATTCTTACCCATCGGCCCTTTCAGAAGTTTCAGAATGAGTCGCACATTTCATAGCCCCATTTTTGTCATTTATGTTGTTTTGCTTTGTTGTAAACTGTCCCAAGATGCCAGTAGAGGTACGGTTAATAAAAGCCTTAAATAAATAAATAAACTCTGTAAATAATAATTTGTACATCTAATAGCTGAGGGCTGGTTGGTTACTTCCATTTGATTTGCATATCTTCCTGGAAAAAAGAGTATGCTATTCTTTCATCTTTGCTGTATAGCTCTTCCACAGTTCTTGTCTGGTTCTTGTCTCTGGTTTCAGTACACAGTCAATTGAGCTCAATAATGCAAATCTTTTCTTTATATGTTTTTAAACTTGTTCTTTAAACCCATCAGAATGTTATTTAAGTTATATTTTGGCACTATGCTTCTGTTAGTGCTCTTTTCCAGCTTCACTCTGATTTTGATATTAAGAATTCATGGTCACCATTACAACCTGCTCCTGATCTTATTTTGGCAGTGAGAACAGAGCTTCTCCATCTTCTATTTCTAATTATGTAATCTGTTTTGTCTTCTGCATCGGCCATCTAATTGGCTGCCTGAAGTATGCATTTGTGAAAAACAGATTGTTGGCTTCACATAATTCTATTAGTTGTTCCTGTGCTTTGTTTTTCACCCCTAGGCCAGATTCTCCAAAAACATTGGATTCTGCTTTGTTTCCTACTTTGATGTTCCAGTCACCTATGGGGATCAGCATTTCTTGTTTTGGTGTATTATTAGTTTCCTCTTAAACATCTACATGAATGATTTCAATTTCTTCTTCTTCAGCATCTCAGGAGTGCAGGCTTGCCTGATTGTTATGTACATAGGTTTTCCACAAATCCTACTTTATATTCTTTGGTCATTTCTGCATTATAGCTCCATAGAACCTTTGCTACATTTTGCCTCAGGATGAAAGGCACTCTATTTCTTCAATGTGTCCTTTCCATAGTAAAATGCTTTCTCTGACTGAAAATGTCCCATTTCAGGCCACTTTAGCTCACTCGCACCAAGTTGTGCAATGCTTCACCGTTCCCTTTCTTGCTTTCTGTTTTCCACTTCGCCTTGTGCTTCTCGCATTCCATGTTCCAATTGTGCTTCTCGCATTCCATGTTCCAGTTGCGCTTCTCACATTCCATGTTCCAATTGTATGTGTGGAGCAGCATCAGACATTCATTTCCATCCATGCATGTCAGTCACTAGACTTCCTTTCTGACTTGTTCTCGTTGCACCATTAGAGATGGTGCCTTCCAGCCTGGGCGCCTTCCAGCCTGGGAGCCCCAACCTCTGGCTCTAACTCTGCTTTCATTTTGTATTATTCCATCGTAGGATTTTCAAGGCGAAAAGATGCAGAAGCGGTTTCTCTTTGCCGCCTTCTGCCCAGAACGAACCCAAGTTGGCTTGAGTGTCCCTTGTGTTGCTTGTGCGCGATCCTCCGCCAGCGTTGCTGTCCAGTGGCTGCCCCTCCGCGCTGTCTCCGTGTCCGGCAGTGAACATGTGAGCTGCGCAAGGCATCTTTCACCCCTGCCTGTGAACCGTGATTGGACGCTGCTGTCAGGCATGCGTGTTAAAAAATGTGGGTTCTTCCAGGTAAGGCTGTTATCACAAGATCACCTTGCTTCCCTCATAGAGGCTTCATGTGGAGGAGGGCCCAAAGCACCCCAGAACCGTACAACAAGCTATGGGCTCTGGGGTGATTTTGAAACTACTCCAGCCATGCATGCTGCCAGGTCCAGATGGTACAGCAACCCACATGCTTCGAAGGCAGTTCAGCAAACTGTACAGTGTGCAAATTGTACAATGCGCACACACAGGCCACCATGGTTTCTTTTCCCCACTGACTGTGCAAACCCAGCCAGTGTCAGCTTCTTCCATATTTTTTCCTACTGAAAATGAGCCATTAAGGAAGAAAACGCTCGCTGTACGATGCCTTTTCATTGTCATTGCAGGAGCACAACGTGTGGCCCTTGTGACACTTCACAAGTAATCAACAAGGCTGCTCCCATGCCTGAACAGCCGCCTCTTGTCCTGCAGAAATTAATTTTACCCATTGATTACATATCTGCACTGCCCAGCCACCAGACACAAGTTAAGCCTTTTCTCACAGGGAGCGAAAGTGAAGGGAAAAGCCC